ACGCCTGGCCATTTTTTGGTTGCAGCCATCATTGTTGTTTGGCGGGCCTGGGCTGGGGATTCGAACCCGCCACCTTAGGTGTATGTGGCTGGCGCCTTAGTCGCTTGAGCCACAGGCGCCGAGCCTCTTGATACTATAATTAAAACAGGGCTGTTTACTGCCACTGGAAGGGTCTCAGGCTGAGGAATGAATGTGGTAGAAAGGTGACTTATCCAAACACGAGGCCCAGGAGTCAGGGACCAGGACCCCAGTCTCCCATTGACTTGTTCTGAGACCTTCTTGGAAAAATGTTACTCCCTAGTATTTCTACTTATTGAGTGGAAGAACCAGTTAGGGTATGACCCATTACTCACATGGCCTTAAATACAGCCAGTTTGGAATAGGTGTTAACAAAGTGACTGATCACTACCTGATGTTAGGCAAGGAGAGAGTTGCAGAGCTATGGGTGGGAGAAGATGCCATTTTGTCTTCTGTCACTGTGTTCCCGTAGGTGACTTCACATTGATCACTGCAACAAACTGCTGTGAAAATTTTATTTAGCAGTCAAAATTTCCTTCACATTCATTACTGTTGAACAAGATCTCACATCTTCCTGTTCATACCACCTGAACTCAAGTCATTAGCTTTAGGCACAAAGGTTTTAGTTTTCTCTCAAAATCAAGTTTCAACTACTTGAGGTTACTGCTACAAGAAGCAGATTTTGTTGAAGGATATCAATAGTTTTCACCCTGTTAGTAAAAATTAGTATCTTTTCCTTAAATAAAGTTAGACATTTTGGTTTTACACTAGGCTTCCATCATAAAATAACAGTAAGACACTATACATGTTTACGTTCAGCACCAGCAAGTCTGTGCCACCCACCGGCATCTGCATGGCTTCCTGTGAGTGCAGGCCCCGGCAGGGCTGTGCCGCAGCGCGTGCTGAACTCTCTCTGGTGCACCTATACACCCTCACCGCTGCTGCCACCCGTGTCCCTTCTGGCAGCAGAAGTGCCAAGCAGCTTAGCAATGGCCTAACTTAAGGCTGTTAAAGTTGTTTTTCATATTCTGCATAGTACCTGTAGCACAATAATCATATAACAACTGTCCAGCAAGAAGAAAACAAAAGACACATTTTCCTACATTTGATCATACAAAAATACGCATTTTTCTGTTTAAAATAGTATTAATAGTAGTACCTAGTCCTTTTTAAACTTGTAAATTAACAAAAAATTACTAAAGGAGTTGAAATACATGTCTGAGGCAAGAAAGTCATGTAGAGAAAAATGCTCCATCCAAAAAACAAATTTAGAACAATTTGATAAAAAGCTGGTTAATGAAAAAGGGAGAATTATTACACTTTCAATGGCAGGATATGCTGTGGTGTTTTAGGGCTAGTTACCATTCAAAGACTAGAAAATGTTTATGAAACTGAAAATAGCCCTTATTTTCTATGCAAGAAGTTGGCAAAAACATTGGGTTTGTTCACAAGATGAATTTCAGAAACAATTTTTAAGAGGCAAATAATTCAAATAGAAACAGTTATTCAGTACAAAGATAAAAAACTATGTTGAAAAAACTTGTTTTAGAAAAAGAAGCTAACTAGACATTTTACTATAAAAAATTTCAAAACCTTAAGATTATAGTTTAAGAAACTCTTAACCGTCAAGTTTGAAAATATCCGTTTTAAACAGGGAAGGGTGTGTGTGGGGGGTGTGGAGGGAGGTATGAAATGTCACGGCCGGGGGAACTTCAGCTTTGACCTTAGAGCTTGGGTAGGCTTGGAAATGAGGGCGTTTTACATCAAGAAAAACTTTTTGTCTGCTTCTCAGTCTCCTCTTAACATTGTTGTCAAAAGCCAGGGGTGGAAGGAACGTTTGTCATATTTCTTAAAATGGCAGTATTTTGAGAGAAGTCTGTTTTTATTTCTCCTGTTCTCCATTCCGAGAACATTACGAGCTTTGAGAGGAAGATGGATTTGTGCACAGGTGCCCGACTTGTGACCTCATTAAGTTTCTCCAACTGGGAACTGCTAACAACTTTCACACCGGGAATACTGACAGGAAAACCCAAATTCCTCCCTCTAAGCAAGCCCTGTTTCTGAGGACCAGTGTCCCTGCAGAAAACACGCCTGGCTGTAGCCCTGGCTGTGGCTGCCACTGCATGCAAAATGGGCTGAGAAGCATCCCCCCCAGGCCCAGGTCCTCAGTGGCTTTCAGGACGCCTGGCTATTAAGCATTGTATGCAAAATGTATTTCCAATATGCAGTGGAGTTTAACACCCGAATTTTAAAAAGTGAAAATCTATCTTCCTCTGTGATATTCATACTTTAACATTAACGTGGAAGGCACTTCTAGGTTTAATTATCTAAGGTGAATGCTTTAAAATTAATAATGCATATCATTTAGTTAGTCCTATGAAGTTAAAAGCAAACTTATGATTTCAAAACACAGTGGGCTAAGGTCCCAAACAAGGTGATCTAAGATAGTAAATTCTGGCCTCAGAGCACTAATCCTTCATCAGAAGAGTTTCAATTAGAGATGACAGAAAGTGACCAGAAAAATACATGAATACTTACTAATAATGCCTGTTAAGGGTTTATCAGATGTTTCTAGAAAAATACAAAATGATGTCTTAACTTTCACGTTGTCTGCTTCTTTGGGCTCTAATTTGACCAGGTATCAAGTAACCTTCCATAGGTATTCGGAAAAATGGATGCAGACAAAATAGATGTAGCAGACAAAACCTGATTAGTTTGATCACAGTTAATAAGAATGCCTGCAAATCACCTAAAATGATCCAGATTTAGAATGACAGGGACATACAGAAAATTTACATCTCTATTCTAAAGTGTGAAGGAAGCATGATTCAACCAATTTTTAAATATTAGTGCAAATTTCAACTATTAACTCTTTCATGTAAAGTTAGAGCTTTAAATGCCTAGGTTAACCATTTTCATCCAGAATAAAAAATTTACAGTTTCCCTGTTCAGAAAATACTACACTTTAGTCTTCATTTGCTAGTGTCTCAGTAGATAACCATATTTTGGCCCCACTTAAAAATTTGCTTAATGGGGTTCCTAAAATGCTTCGTCTGCATAGATTCCCTACAGGAGAAAATGGAAATGAGGAGGAGAGGAAGTCTGGTGTCCCTGCCATGTCGTGTGGGCTACTGGCTCTGAAGTACATCCTGCTCTGGCCCAGCTCAGCACAGCAGGCCTCCAGGGGGCCACTCCGCTGCTGCCGCAGTGCCCGGCTGAGCATGTCCACCTCATCAGCCAGCAGCGACAGCTTGTGAAAGGCTGTGATGAAGCCACCCAGGTTGATCTGAGCCTCGGGAACCCAGCGGAAGTAGCACAGTTTCCACAGTTTGATGTGTGTTCCAGAGAGACGTGGCAGAATAACCCCATGCAGGTCGGCTGGTCTGGAGAACCACTCTCTGACGTACTGCTCCATGTCACTGTTCTGGCTGTTGGGTTGCTGCAGAGGCTCTGGCTTTAGTTTTAATATTAGCGAATTTCTCCTAGGAAGTAATTCTTGGTCACTGATGATTCCATTCTTTAAGGAAGATGGCATTCCTCTCAGTGTGGAGCTATAGGTTTTCTGTACAGAAGAGAGATTTCACCGTAAGTTTCCTTAGGCTTCCCTTCTCAGAAAGGTTGCAAGGGTGCAAAGGCAAAAACAAACTCTGTATCACGAGTGACCGATGGCATTTCAGCCTCAAAGAATATTTTGTCCTTTCCTTTGTAGTACTTATTGCAATCCTCCCCCCCTGGAATTCAACATTTTTAGGTGTTGACTCTACCACTAGGTCTCAGTGGAGGTAGGGAGGCAAATACATTCTATCCATTAATTTGCTAAAGGGAAAATTTCTAAGACTTTGGGGTCAGAAAAAAAAGCACTAGACCTGACCCAATTGATTCTAGAAAGAAAAATAAGCAGATTGGAAGGGTTTCAGAAACTAGGGCTTGCAAGCTTTGAGCTGCAATCTGCCAACTCTCAAGCACTTGATCAAACCTTTGTGTGCCTCAGACACCATAAGGAAAAGTGAGGACACAATTACTTCAGTAAAAAGGGAATGATCCCTCAAAAACCTGCATTGGGGGCGGCGCCTGTGGCTCAAGGAGTAGGGTGCCGGCCCCATATGCCAGGGGTGGTGGGTTCAAGCCCAGTGCTGGTGAAAAATTGCAAAACAAACAAACAAACAAAAAAACCCCCTGCATTAGCAGTATTACTGTGGGAAGTGATGCACTTTTAATGCTGTGAGTTCTGGTTTGTGAGCCAAGTTATGTTTGGTTTTGTGAGCCAAGCTCAGGTTTGCTTAGGTGTAATTTACCTTTGTCCGTTTGAAAGACTTCACAGAGCCATTCTGTATGCAAGGTGAGCTCTTTCCAATGTAGAAGGGGTTATGGAAAAGGGTACGGTCCTTTGCTGTAAATTGTAGAGACCAGTCCCAAACCGAGGGGAATTTTAACCCCTTTTCATCACCCAATTGGATATTTTTGCTTATAGCAAATTCCTGCAAATAAAATATTTGAACACTTATGAAAAGATTCAAAACTAAACATTTTCATAGGAGTTTTCTTTTTTTTTTAATGAACCATTCATCATTATACAGGTCAAATGTTCTGAGCCACAGCACTCAAAATCCACTGGAGTCCTGGCCTTTCTGCTCAGAGACACACTTGACGTTCAGTGTGCTCTCTGTCTTAGGACCCTGAGGAAGCAGCACCCTCTGGGCAGTGAAACTGCTATTAAGAGAAATAAAATTCCACTAACATTGATGGCACCCAGTCCTAACCATGTTGAAGTTATTTCTCTAACTGTAGCAGTTTACTTTTATGAGCACATGGTTACCTGCTGGTAAGTGGACTGACACAGTCTTTGACCGGAGATCACCGCTGTGGGTTTTGTGCCTTGTTTTCTAAGTGGAGAATCACAGTTTACTTTGCCAGTGTCTCAAATATCTAGGCCACAGTGTAGGAGCAGGGTAGGAAAAAAATCAACTCCCCCGTGGTCCAAGCACGTGGCTAAGACACACAGACCATGAGCCAGGGCTGGGCACCTTGTTCACGGGAGCCCACTGCTGGCCCCCCTCTGGCTTGGTTCAGGCTGGTGGTCGGGTTTCTCATCACAGCAAATTGAGGCAACATCAGGCTATGAGGTAACAGCCAACCACCTCACTGTGGAGGACAAGTGCTGTTCTGGACAGCAGCCCAGACCATCCTGTAGTCACATTTGGCAAGATGAAGAAAGGATCCTCATCTCAGCTGAGCGACAATGGCAGGTACCACAGTTTATACAGATGGTTCCCCAGAACAGTTCCTGGAAACATCCCCAAATACTGAGTCTCTGGATGGTCCCTTATTCTGTTCTGTACCTTTCAGTATTTTCCAAGTTTTTGACAATAAAGGCAAGAAGATCTTTGGTAACCAGAAAAAAAGGCAAAGGATAAATCTTATTAGAAAAAAGAACAGCAGTCAGGAGGCCATCAGTAGATCAAAGGCAGGCGTCATCCCCACCACAGAGGTAGCTTGAAGTTATCTAGAGATGGACGAGCTCGGTAATGGCATAGGACATTTCTAAAATCTTCCATTTGGCTCTGTGCCTGTAGCTCAGCGGCTAGGGTGCCAGCCATATACACTGGAGCTGGCACATTTGAATCCAGCCGGGGCCTGCCAAACAATGACAACTATAACCAAAAAATAGCCAGGTGTTGTGGCAGGCGCCTGTAGTCCCAGCTACTTGAAAGGCTGAGGCAAGAGAATTGCTTAAGCCCAGGAGTTGGAGGTTGCTGTGAGCTATGACAACATGGCACTCTACTGAGGGTCATAAAGTGAGAGTCTTAAAAAAACAAAAAAGTCTTCTATTTCAAATAAGTAAAAATTCATTAAGCACCAAATACAGGTATGCTTAAAACATTTTTTAGTTATGTGAAATGTCAGGATAATATTAAAAAAAACACTCATTTGTTTTATTAACAATGGTATTGTTAAGAGCTGAAATCTAGTAAAACAAACCCAACCTCTTTTAGCAGCCCTTAAGAAAGTATATAGAGAAAGTCATCTTTTTTTAAATGTGAAAACTAAAAATATTTATCTACAGGAAAGGTCAGATTTTCCACCAACAGTACCTGACCACTAGCATCTAAGGTGGCCTCAGAAAGAAAAAACAGGAAACACTTTTGGCTCTGGTTGTGTGGAAGGGGCTGTGGACATTAGTCATTTTAAGAATCCTGACTCTTAGTCAACAACCAGTTCCCTGATGAGGAAAGGAAGTTAGAAAAGGCTTTTTAGAAAAGCCAAATTATACTTTGGGAAGCTGAGGTGGGTGGAATGCTTGAGTCCAGGAGTTTGAGAACAGCCTGGGCAACACAGTGAGACCCCATCTCTACAGAAAAACTTTAAAAACTGGCCAAGTATGATGGTGGTACATGCCTGTAGTCTCAGCTACTTGGGGGGGGGGGGCAGGAGGATCGCTTGAGCCTGGAAGTTGGAGGTTGCTATGAGCTATGATCACACCGCTGCACTCTAACTTGGGTGACAGGGTGAGACTAGTCTCAAAAAAAGGAAAATAAAGAAAAAGACAAATTTAAAAGATACAGCACTAAACCATGAAACAGGGAAAGCAAATCAAACACTTGGGAGTCCTCCACTCAGATGCAACGCATGGCCTTATTGACAGGACCCCAAAGCCTATGTCCTTTCATTTGACCATCCCATCTAACCAGGCTGTCGGCTTCCTAGCCTCATGCACCCTTGCAGGCTCTCACTGTGTGCATGCCTGAGTGCGCATGTGTGTTCATGGAGGCACAGGTGTGTGCATGGGTACTAACAGGTGAGAATGGAGAGCAGAGAGAGGCAAATAGGGAAAGCCTCACTTCAAGCAGAGCTACGACACAAGAATGGCAATACTGATGAGAAATGAAAATCAGTAACTGGGAGACTGTTCATTTTAGAACAAATCTCCCATACCTCAGGAGCGTGTAAACCTCTCATTAGTCTTCAGCACAGTATTTGGAAAGGCTGAACTCTTTTAGGGAAGCATAGGATATACTGTAGACAAATTTCCTTCCCAAGCTAACGAATTTACAAACCCTTTGACGGTGTTCAGTTTTTCTGATCCCTGCGCACCCTGAGAGCAGCAATACCAAGCAAATCCTTCTGGCCTTTGTGCTGGGAGGCCTGGCTCTGGGCTCTGAGAGAGGACCATCTCCCTCATGACTGGCCCTGTGCTCTGCCTTCCTAACAGAACCCCAGCCCTGACCTCTCCTTTGGGATGCTCTTCATTAATGAGGATCCCCTTTATTATTGCAACAGGGGCCTGAGTAAAACCAGCTCCTTAACTGGACAGTACATTTTGTCTTTTACATCTACAGTCCAGAATAACTCATATTCCTTAATTTTTTATTTCAGTGGATTTAGGGGATAGAGGTGTCGTCTGTTACATGGATGAACTGTATAATGCTGAAGTCAGGGCTCATATAGCGTGCCCAGCGGCTGGGGTGCCAGCCATATAGAATTGCATGTTGCCCTCAATCTGTTTCATTAGAATAATTTGTATAATGCTTCAAAGCTTACAAAAGGTTTTTCATCTCATACAATGTGACCAAAAGCACAACTGTCTGATGAACCTGTTTGATGGGGCCATTTGACAGATAAGGAACCTGGGCTGACAGGCTTAGCCTAAGAGAAATATGGGCCTACTATCTTCTCCAGCCTATGGCCAGATTCAGGTTTCGTGACTCCCAGGTCACACTGCCAAGACACGGCCTTAATGCTGAGGCTGAAGACCCCAGGGCTCACTTCTCCTTACAACGTCTTCCTAAAGGCCCACAAGAGCTGCCCTTTCTGTTTTACTTAATGTTCTCCACAGTATTTATGGGCACTTCCTGTTGTTGGTTCAAATATGGGTGAGACAGAACTTGGATTCAGGATGGTTTCCACCAGTGCCAACAGAAGCTAGTTTTTTTTTCTTTTCTTTCTTTTTTTTTTTTTTTTTTGAGACAGAGCCTAAAGCTGTCCCCCTGGGTAGAATGCCATGGCATCACAGCTCACAGCAACCTCCAACTCCTGGGCTCAAGCGAGTTTCCTGCCTCCACCTCCCAAGTAGCTGGGACCACAGGTGCCCACCACAATGCCTGGCTATTTTTTGGTTGCAGCCATCATTGTTGTTTGGCGGGCCCGGGCTGGATTCGAACCTGCCACCTTAGGTGTATGTGGCTGGTGACTTAGCTACTTGAGCCACAGGCTCCGAGCCCAGAAGCTAGTTTCAAGTTTGGCTTAACACACTGATCACTCATAAATGATTCTTCTTTCAGGTCAGTGTTCTTCAATCTTTTTAATCTCACGGCACACTTGAACCTATAGTTAAACTTCTGTAGCACACTTAAATTATGTGATAAAAAAAGCACTTAAAAATTATGTTGATAAAAGATAAAAAAAAGAATATACTTAACTGTGCTTTGAATGTTTTTTGAAAACAATTTAGTAAATCATCTTTAAAAGTTGCTGTGGCACACCTAAGAGCCTCTCACAGCACACTGGTTGAAAATCACTGTTCTACCAAAGTGACTGCTGTGTGACACATGGGATTCTGAGAACATATGGTAAGACAGCACCTATGGAAAATGTTGGTCTGGGACCAGGTCTATATTTCATCTCTAACCTTCCTGCTCCATAGTGTTCTTGAAGAAAAACAATATTGTTTTGTACAACTTTTATTCCACTGGCCTAAAATGTCCTCAAACAGGGTTTTCTTTTCTTTTTTTTTTAAACTACCTAACAGCCCAAATGTGAACTATAAATACAAAAGGATGGCATTTAAGGTGGTTAAGTAATTTACATGTTTAAGCCGGTTTATTAATGAACAATTTACAACAGGGAAAAACAACCAAAATATTCAAACATAAAAATGAAATAATTTCCTTGATTTTTGTGTTCAAATTTCAGCTGACAATGGTAGTAAGATAGTTTTAAACTATACATTTAAAATATGCAGTTCGTTATACTTCAGTTATATCTCAGTAAAGTTGTTAAAAAAAGGAAAAGTAGCCCCAACCCGTGTTGCTCACCGTGCTTTGCTTCACTCGCTGGTGAGGAGAGTTGAACAGGAAGGTGCCAAATAGTGAGATCCGGGTACTGTCAGACAGGACCGCTAAGTAGGTTTCTGAGAACTCAAAAGCTGCTGGATACTGTTCTAGTAGCTGCCAGGTGGCATCCAAGAATAGCAAAAATAAGGGAGACTGGCAAATACAGACAATGGGATTATTTAATGTTATCTTTCAGCTGCTCACATTTATTTCTAAATTTATTGCTGATATTAAGGAAGACATTAATAAGAAAACATTTAAACCTAAAACACTTGGGTCCTAAACTGAGCTAAGGAGACGTGATTAAATTAAACACATCCCGTCTCAAACCACAACAAACCTCACAACTCTTATCTGCATGGTAAGTATACCAAATGGAAATAGCAAAGCAAAAAGACAGACACGTTTGCCACTGTATGAATGGGGAAAAGCAAAATATGTGCTTAAGTGGAAAACAAAACATAAACCCAACTTCTATAATTAGCTCTTGGTTGATTATGTAGGCTCAGCACCCAGAAAATGTCTCCCAATTCCAGAAACCAGTCTGGTGTCCACCCAAGTCCCCTGGTGTCCCCCAGGGCAGCACCTCTCATGGCAGCTGCTGCGTATGGAACAGTGCTTTCTGAAGCAAGCCTCAGCACCTGAGCTGCCCTGCCTGTGAGATGCCTGCCAGGCCTTCCACAGCTTTACTACAGGGCACGGCAGCCACGGACTCCACAGCTATTAAAAAGATGGCCCTCTCAGACTTTCCACCTTAACCCATGCACACAGTTTAAGCAAATGCAATAGTCCAAAATGGATTTTTAAAAGTATCTAATATGCAGTGGCGGCTTAGTGGGTAGGGTGCTGGCCCCATATACCAAGGGTGGTGGGTTTGAGCCCAGCCCTGGCCAAACTGCCACAAAAAAATAGCCAGGCGTTGTGGTGGGCGCCTATAGTCCCAGATACTTTGGAGGTTGAGGCAAGAGAATCGCCTAAGCCCAGGATTTGGAGGTTGCTATGAATTGTGACACCCCGGCATTCTACAGAGGACGACAAAGTGAGACTCTGTCTCTTAAAAAAAAAAAGTATCTAATGTGCTTGTTACGTAATATGCAGCAGTTAATACCTAATTTCTTCAGGTAGTTTTCAAATTAGAAAAATTCTATAGACAAAAAAAATTCATATATATAGTTACACTAATCTTTACAAGAAATACCTCAATTTTCATTCCAATCCATTAGGCTAGCAATGAACTGAGGAAGCTAAATTGTACTAAATGCAGTATTTTAGAAAAGCCAACTCATCTCTTTACACAGACACATTTTACCTTGTGAATCCTTAAAGAGAGATAATAAAGCATGAAGACTGTTACCTCTTTCTCTGATCTCTTTAAATGGTTGCATCTGTCTAGGAACTGATAGCCTGCCATGACCCACTCCTTCTGTATCAGACTTTGAAATCCAGTAATTGTCCTAAAATAGGGATCCAGCATCACTTGAACAAGAGAAGCAATAAAACAGCTCAAGTCTCTTCCCTCCTCCTCTGTCAATAAAATGGAAAGAAAAGGATTACTACATAGAAAAGTGCTAAGAGAGAAAGGGAAGGAGAGGTAAATCAGATAATTAAGGATTCTACACATAGGCTGCCTTCAAAATAATATGTATCAGGATATTCTGCCAGATTCCAGCAACTCTAAAATATTATATATTTTTGGGTAAGCTAAATTAGTGTATAAATACAATCTTTCTACTGAAAACTAACTCCACATGGCAATTGCTCAGAGATGAATGGGGGTAAATGGGATTGTCCACTATCACCCGAAAAGGTGGCAAACATTTCCCTTCTGTCTTTTATAGTTGTTATTTTCAGTAAAGTCAGAATTACCATGCTATCAAAGCCAACCAAAGAAATCAGAAGAAAACTATTGACCAATATCCCTTATGGTTACAATGTAAAAATCATTAATAAAAATACGAGTAAACTAAATTATCCCAGGAATGAAGGGTTGGTTTAACATTTGACAATCAAGGTAATGCATCCTATTGATACAACAAAGGACAAAACCAACATGACCACCCCATCAGGTACAGAAAATGCATCTGGCAGAATTCTACATTCATTCCTAGTTAAAAAAACCAAACTCTTCAGTAAATTAGGAATAGAAAGGAACTTCTTTAAACTGATCAAAGGCTTCTACAAAAAACCTACAACTAAGATTATTCTCATTGGTGAAAGACTGGATGCTTTCCCAGGATCAGAACAAGACAAGGCTGTCTACCCTTGACACTTCTGTATCACATTGTACTAGAGACCTAGCTAGAGCAGTAAGGCAAGAAAAAAAAAAGGCCAGGTGCAGTGGCTCATGCCTATATGCCCAGCACCTTTGGGAAGTCAAGATAGGAGGACAACTTGAGAAGTTCAAAACCAGACTGGGCAACACAGTGAGACACTATTTCTACAAAAATAAAAGTAAAAAATCTAGATGGGTGTGGTGGCACATGCCTGTAGTCCCAGCTATACAAGAGGCTGAGGCAATAAGCTTGAGCTTGCAGCAAGCTACACTGTGCCACTGCACTCCAGATCTGGGTAACAGAGTGAGCAACCTTGTCTCTAAAAATAAAATAAGGCATCCATATCAGAAGGAAAAAGGTAAAAACTGTATTTGCAGAAAAAATAATCCTGTAAGCAACAAATCCTTTGGAATCTACAAAATAAATACTAGAATTAATAAATGAGTTCAGTGAAGTCATGAGAATTCTATATGCAATAATGATCTGAGCACATAATAAACTTGAAAATGAAATTAAGAAACCAACTGTATTTATAGTAATGTAAAAAATAAAATACTTAGAAAGTTTAACAAAATACATGAAAGACTTATACAATAAAAACTATAGGACACTTTTGATAAAACACAAGATTTAACACGAAGAGACATTCATTCCATGGAGAGGCAGATTCAACAAAGAAGGCATTATTCCCACATTGATCTATGGTTTAACACATTCCTATCAAAAATCCCAGTACACTTTTTCTGATGACCCAAAAAGTTAGACTGAAATGCAAAGGATCTAGAATAGCCAAAATAATCTCAAAAATAAAGCATTGTGTCTTTAATTCCAAAACTTCTTCCACAGTTACAGTACTAAAGATAGTGTGGTACCAGCATAAAGACAGACATAAAGATCAATGGAATTAAAACTGTTAAGTTCCAAAACTAAGTCCTTCCCCAGATGTCCTCAAACTATGGCCTGCATGCTACATGCGGCTCGCTTAGGACATTTATCCAGCCCGCCAGGTGTTTTTGCCCTGCTACCTGTCCTGCTTAGCAGCCGACTCATCCCGGGGCCCGCAGTCCAGCCCTCCAATGGTCTGAGGGACAGTGAACTGGCCCCCTGTTTAAAAAGTTTGAGGACCCTTGTCCTTACCATTTATATTCAACTGATTTTTTATGAAAAGTACCAAGGCAATTCATCAGAGAAAGGATAGTCTTTTCAACAAATAGTACTGGGACAATTTGGAATCCACATGCAAAAAAGATGAATTTAGCCCCTTATCCACAACAGAGAAAAAAATTGATTTAAAATGGATCATAGACCTACATGTAAAAGCTAAAACAATAAAAAGTCTACAGAACAAAATATGGAAGAAAGTCTTCATTACCTTAAATAAGCAGTATGAGACTTAAAACATGATCCATAAAAGAAAAATGGATAAACTAAACTTTACCAAAATTTAAACATTTTTAAAGACATCAAGAAAATTAAAAGAAAGCCACTGAGTAAAAGAAAATACTGGCAAAACACATGAAGACACTCATTCACTAGGGAGCCTGGAGGTGGTGGCACCTTTTGAGGCAGATCAGTTGAACAGTGACCCTGCCAGCCAGCCAGTACAAACTTGGACAGACTGATGGCAAAGCTGACTGAAGGATGGATATCAGGACAGCCATATGGCCCGAGTCACCTCAAGTTCTGGGGAATGGAGCTGTGGGTACTGGGAGATCTGTAGGGAGGACACTGGGACATCCCTGAAGCTGGGAAATGGAGTGCCCTTGTGAGAATTCTGGGAAGATGGCTGGCTGGTAGTAACCCTTGGCAGAGGGTCCTGACCAGAGGTAGAAAAACTGGATGGAATTGGACTTTATGAAGCCAAAGACGGGGAGCGGAGCCAAGAAAGAAGTTCGGCAAGCTGTAATACCAAGGAAGAGCATTCAAGAAAACAAATTACAGGTACAAAGCCTACTGACTAGAGGACATAAGACCCCATCCCCGAAGCAGGAGGCCCACTGCAAGCTATCTGGGAGCAAGCAGGGAACAAAATACCTCTCATTTCACCTTGCTGGAGAGAGCTGCTAAACACCACATTGTTTTCTCCAGGGAGGCTTCACTTATGAACCTACACACCACCCCACTAGGCATAAAATTGAACAGTTATTTTCCCCTACAAGTCCAAACTCCCAGTCCACCCTTCCCCCTCACATGGTCATTTGAAGTTCTGCCCCCTTCAGAGCACTGAGTGTTTGGTCTCATCCTGAGAGATCTGAGCACAGTGTAGACCACCAACCACCAGGACAGAATCTGTGACTAATGGGGAAGAAAGAGGGTGTGAGAAGAAAGGGACAATCAGCAGGAGGAGGAGCAGTCCCCTGGTTATGACTATGCCCAGCCAGTGGTGGTGTTGACCCTTGGTTTGGGCTGTGTCTGGAAGGACAGGGTGCAGAACCCCTGGCTCTGACAGCACCCACAGCAGGAGAGCAGTTGTCCTGTGTGGACTAAGTTTGATAGGCATGGCTGGGCCCCACCCGCTGCTGGACCTGTGAGCAGAGGGTTGGCAGGTAGACTAAGACCTGAGGGCAAGGGTGTGGTCCCTTGTTTCTAATCCGGTCAGTGAGTAGAGGCTTACCAGGTGAGGACTGAGACCTATGTAGGGTGTGGTGCCCTGACTCTAACAGAGCCTGCGAACAGAGGCTTGCCAGACAGTGGACTGAGACTGGCACTGTGGTCCCCTGACTCCAACTGGTCTGGCAAGCAAAGACTAGCTGGGTATGGATTAATACGGAGTGGGAGGGGAAGGAGGATGGGGATCTGGCCCCTGGCTCCAACAGGGCCTGTGAGCAAAGAAGTGGACAACAGTGTGGACTGAGTCTGGTGGGCGGGAATATGGATCCCTGGAGAGCCAGGGATTGAGCTGTTGGAGACCCTTGAATCCCTCTCTGTTCAGCAGGGTTTGCACTACCTGAGACAATTTAATAGGAACCTGTGCCTGGGCTGTCCACTCAGGGACATTCTGAGGTTGACCTCTGAAGTTTTGTGGTAGAAAAGAACTGAAGGGTGGGGGCTGGCTGGTGCAGCTGTTTGTATCTCTTCATAGTCGAGATTTAAACCTAATACTGTGGTTTCCTAGGATAGAGTAGAAGTTGGCCTATATCACAACAGAGCTAGCTTGTGCTATCTCACCAAGTAGGTCTTCAGACTCTCTGGCCAAAACTCTGAAAGGGGCCTTTTTTAAGGTTGTAGGAGACAAGCCAAGTGGTCGAGAAGCCTAGTGGTCGGGAAGGTGCTACCCGGGAACCCCAAATCAATCTCACCCTACCAGTTCTAATAACCAAACAGTGGAAAATAAACATGGTGCAGACCCAACAGAAGAACTCTGGCAACATGAATAACCAGAGTAGATCAACATTCCCCCCACCAAGAAATGACAAAGGAGATACAACCGTACATGTCATGCATAGACAAATGGCAGCAATGTCAGAAGTCAAATTTAGAATATGGATGACAAATAAGATAAATAGAAGGAAAGAAAAGATAGAAATTGAATTCCAAAGAGTAGTTCTAAAGTTGTCTCAAGAAATTAATGAATTCAAAGGCCAAGTCACCAAAGATATGGACATAATGAGAAAAGAGACAGCAGAGCTTAAGAAAATCACAAAGTTGGCTCGGCACCTGTGGCTCAAGTGGCTAAGGCGCCAGCCACATACACCTAAGGTGGCGGGTTCAAATCCAGCCTGGCCTGCCAAACAACAATAATGGCTGCAACCAAAAAA